TACCTGATTAATTCAAGCAGTTTGCTCTAACAGGAAATTCGTTTATATATACAGCGAAACATATCGTTGACATTAATCCCGGTAAGAATGAAAAATTCATATAAATTCAAAGCCGCGGGTTTTCTCTTTCAGCAAAACCGGCTCTGCAAGACCTCAGAATATTGTCGTATAGAGAATAAAAATGTTTCCTTGTCCTTACAAAAGAACTGGAGATCCTATGCGCCCCGTATACACATACGCACAAACTGCTACAAGAGTTTGCTTACCGGCATAGAAAATACTTTGTTCCGCGTCTTCCTTCCGACAGTTTAGTTTTCAGTTTACGCGGTGGCGCCCTTGCGGAATACAATGGTACTACGGAGACAGACGTCTGGCCATCCGTCGTATACATCGTGTAACGAGATCCCGTGTAATACGACTCAAGCGGAAAAGTTCTCGGCTCGCGTGTTGCGCGATACTGCCGATAGATTTACACTTGAGACAACACGTGTTTCTTTTGCTGTTAATGCACTGTGAATAGCTATACGAATAAATACGTGATACAATAAGACATGAAGTTTTAGATAAATCGTCATTTCATAAGACGTTATCGAAGAGGTTCGTACAAGAGCTGTAGGATGCGGAAATATCGACGAAGAAAAATTATACTAAATAAACTCGCCGTGAATTTTTATGCGAGGTGACACAGATACCAATGATCTTTAGAGTTCAATTATTTTAAATTTATACAAGGTTCAAGATCACAAGAAAGGGAATTAACATTCGTTATAAAATCAGCAATTCTTTTATCCTGCTATTCAAAACGATGGCGGACCGTCGTAGGATTGATTAAATAGTACGAGACTGCAGTTCAAGAGTGAAGAGGGGTGCGGACTATGCAGACGGGGTGTAGAGGGTGGCAGCCAGGGTACTGGAAAGTATCGACCCGGCGCACACTGCTACCATCTACGAGACAAAATAGACGGGACGCCTCGAAAGCTGTCAACGTTCGTGTTCGTTCTTAAGGGGTTAGTGGCAGTAAGAAATTTCGAAAAAAATTATTTCTGGATTTTCGCATCTTCTTAAAGTACATCTTGAAGTTATGTTTTGTAAGTTTTAGGTTAATCTGAGCAAAATCGACCGGCTCGACCACCCTTGGACTCTTGACGTGCTCCAACAATTTTGTAGCTTGACGGACGTGCCACGGTTTCTGAATAGCAAACCATAGGATTGTAAAATAAATGAATACAGGTCATCGCTGAAAAGATATTTAAAAAAGAGCCGTAAAGCAAGAAGACTTCTGAAACGCAAAGCCTGGTAAATCCTACAGACTTAACACTGTCTGGTGACGGTACACGGAAGAAGCGTGGGTTAACTTCTTTATAAGTCGTGGCTTCCATTATAGGATACTACACGAGGAAAGTGATTGATAAATGTAAAATGCGCTTATTGCGAAACCTGCGAAGTTTGGCAGAAGATACGAAACACATAGAAATTTAAAAAGTGGATGCAGATCCACGAATCGGAATGGCCTTCGAACCACGATGGATCGTCAAGAAAAATGGAGGTTGATGCGATGGTAGAAATATTTAAGCGTTCGGAGAAACCGCACGGTGCGAAAGGTATCGCAACTGCTATTGACAATGGCGACTCAAAAACGTACACTGGTACAGTAAATACGTAATGGTGATGATCCTGTGAATGAAAATGCATCGGGCATTTTCAAAAACGTATAGGGAGAAGACTGCACGAATGCAGAAAAAAACATAAAAGACTCGAAGGAAAAGGAAAGTTAACGTGAAAGCTCATGGAAGAACTGACCGTACTTTATGGATTGGCAATTCGACGAGAGCGTCGCCCGCTTAGAGGAACATGAGAGATGCTCTATTCCTACGGATGACGTTCTACTACTACAGCACGACGAACGAGAATCCGATTCGCATAAAATGCCCAAGCGGAACTGACTTGTGGTGCTCCTATCGACGCGGCTATGCCAACGGAGAACTCCAAACTTACAAGCATGATTATCAGCCTCTGTCTCATTTTGAATATGTGATGCCATATATTTTGGAATATTGAAACATTTAAAGACATAGGCGTATGCTGTTTTAAAAACTAAATTCTTAAAAAATACTTATTTTTTTCCCCCTCCTGACTGCCCGTAACCCCTCAATTCTCACCCTCCGTAAAACCCCATAAACTGTCATCCCTAATATGCAACTTCCTTACCGTTAATTCTCAACCCTAATAAAAACGTCCTCTCACCGTTTTACTCAATACTATCTGCTTTATATTTTCCAAAAATTCCTAATCTCGAGACCCCCTAAAAGATCCATACCCTTGACCAATGTTTTCCGTTGCTTCGAAACTAGGCTTTTCCCGCTTTTTCAACCCCTATACTCTCTACCACTTCCAAACCACATAAGAGAACAAGCATCCCTCGGCCCAACCGAGTAATCTGAACTTCGTGAGAGCAACGCATCTCACAGGTATACTTGTGAATTCAACGTTGATTATCGTTATACGAAGAATCACCATTCCCAGAACATCGTGAACAAGTCAATAATTTTTTTTTATCAATATCCCGACACATTTAACACAGCTGAATATCATAATGACGTTCCGATGACTGATGACTAATTGAAGGCTACGCCATTGTCTTTAACGACGTTTCATAGCGTCTCTTCCTTTCTCCGTGGTCATGCAAGACATTCACCAGGGCGCGCGCATCCCTCGCGATACAACTACCTAGTCTCCCAGCGACATCTTGAAAATTCTAAGGTTCCTCGTGTTGCGCGAGAGTAGACCAGTGGGTCAGTGCCGGGTACGATCTTGACCCGTGAGAGATCAGAGGTGAAAATATATAAAAGACAAATCCACGTATTATCAGGAAGAATCAAAATTGCTAAAAATATTTAAACACCAAAACTCAGCTGTTTATCCAAAAAGTATGTCAACGATAACAATTCACGTTAAACTTCATGTGAAGGTAATAAGATTTTACGTATCAAGTAAAAGAGACAGGGTTGATCCACGTCTTATCCCATCGTGCCCCTTTCGACCGCGAGAAACTCGACCGTTTGACTTTCTGGCGCACGCCATTTTCTTTTACGGTAAAATTACCATTTCTCTCGGCAACGTAAAAAAAAAAAAAAAAAACATTTCTTCGCTCAGATAACAGCCACGGAGTCATGATCGAACGAGATTGCAAGAGTGTTCGCTGTATGCGCGAATCGGTATTACTTCCTCTTAAAAGATTCGATCTGTTCACTTTGACCTCGCAGCCTCGGAGCCTACTTTCTATGAGAGCAACGCAGCAGCATCTCGATGTACCGTGATCATCGGACGAGATGGATTACGAGTGAAACAAAAAAGTTACAGATAGGAATAAAAGAAATTCATGAAGACTTAACCGAAAACCCTATTTTCGATTACCTAAGTCTCGACCCGCAGTGACAACTTCGAGGAATCGATATATCTCGATTCTTTTACTCGCGATTCTCGAAGCGTTTGAAAAACGAACCTGTAGAGGACCGAGAAGATCAGCGGTGACGACGAAATATCACGGATATCAAGCCGATTACTATTTTGTATAGTCATGAAACACTGACTAGAGAACGTAGGTTCGATGTTAGTGGTTGTGAGAAAAAAAAAATTGGACGATCCCAACGAGATATTTTACCGTACATAAATGCATGGAATATAGTGAGTCCATTTGCTGCTGTGTATTGTTTGTCGATCAAGGAAGGAACGGACAACAGGAAAGATCATTAAAATGTCGGCAAAAAAGGACAAAATTTATGGTAGACAAATGGTCTTTAACGGTGTATGTACATATATAGTATAAGTAATAATGCTTCAGGGTCAAATTAAGTGAACACCGTTATGGACCGTCGCGCCACGTAATTTCTATCGTTATCCTTTCATTTCAGTAATTTACCTCGATATGAAATAAGGTGTTCCCGTGGCACGGTAAATCCGCTCTTTTAACCCTTTCGCTAGGACGGTCCGCGCCGCGCACGGTGTCACGTAGAACGAGGCACCGCGCCAAAAGTTTAAACAATCTACACATTGCGCACGTATATTAGTGCATAGCGGGCGTTTTGTGGTGGGTGACTATAATCACCCGTCGTATCGAAAGGGTTAAAAAGCATGAAACATTCATCCACAAGACAGATAAGAATACATTTTTAATTTCTGATAACAGCCTTCGGTAATTGAAAACAGCTGACTGGTCACGTGATTGTTATCGATATCATAACACGGAAAAGTACATCCGTAACATAGGGTGAAAATAACATAAAAACTAAATATATTTGCAGAAAAAAATATTGAAGAATCCCGTCATGACTTAAAAAAAATTAACAAGTCAATGTTGACTTCCACTTTGGAAAAAAAAAATCATTTTTTCATAAAGACAATTAATTATTTCAATCAGGCAAATAACCTTGTCTGACCAAACATCGTGACGTAGCCGAGTGTACTACTGTAGTCAAACGATTAAATTGTCCTTCGACGATTGTCAATGCATTCAATGTAAACCAGGTGCCTGGAACATGGAGAATTGTGACACCGAGTAGAGAACAATGGCGAGCATAGATTATCTCAACAAGATAGAACGGAACGAGACGACTTTGAATTGGCAACAGCCGATAAAAGTGAGTCTCGAGTCACGGTACACGTGCCTGCATTATCGATCGGTACGGAAAGACGTACCGGAGGCTTCGCGTCGCTTTCCTGCCTGCTACGAATTCTCTGGAGCGCAATAAAGTACACACAAGACCGAGCTGCAATTATAAGCAGAAAAAGTGATGCCTAGCTAAGAGAAAAACAATAGATAACGTAACCAAAGAAAAAGTATCGAATGAACAAAGTCGAGCGATAGGGTCTTTTATGACAAATATAAATACTTCTTACTGAAATCACCGGACTCCTATTTAACTACCCCATTATTTATGTATATTTTCTCAAAATAAATTATTACTATTAGCAAGGAACACAAACACAGAGTGAAAGCTTACCCTGAAGCATGTTGTGATCAGCTTCCTCGTCGACAAGGCACCGAACACCGGTACCAATCGTAGAAGTAATAAGACTCATGGTTACGGATAGATAATACGTAAAAAAAAAAATCGACCTTTAAGTCAACTGCGTTCCGTCGCAAAGAACGGATGGGGCCGCCTGGCCCGCGCCCAGGGTCCTACCACGATCTGCAAATGGGACTCACAGTTAAATCATGTACGACCGTCCGATCCACCTATCTTGTATATCTGAATGTAACGTATAACCTATAATTCGTAATAAAATTGAGCAGTACCGTAAAATTGTGTCCTTCGAGACTTGAGTTTCACAAGACTCGTAGACAAAACAAACGATGGCTTCCCAGGCGACGGGTACAGGCGGCCGTCACGCAGTGAATAATAGTCGAGCGGCTTAAGACCCAGTCGACATTGACGCGACGTATAATAAATCGAACACAAGGATTGTAACAAGTTTAATGAAGGATCTGCACGTTAAGTTCGTCACTGCCACTGCCACTGCCACTGCCACCAGACGAGACGGGTTCGGTCGACCCTCCCGTTACAAGCGGATTGTCGATGCATGACTCGAGCGAGCAAAAGCGAGTCTCTTCGCGACGATCAATAACTGGCGTCTGCGCCTTGTTCTACACCAACAGTAATGTATGTGCATACATACAAGTCTAGCGTTGTTCCTCGCGATAACGTATTAGGCGTTCCTTGACGTTAAGCCAAGTCGCGCCAATCTTACGCCATGACGATCAACACTTCGTACGGAATTCGCTTTACGGACTATAATAACGGACAGACAGACGGTGTCTCCCGCTACCGGACACAATGCATTATGGCCGACCGCGAATCGTTCATTTCTACTTCGAGTCTTGTTAGCCTTGTCAGTCCGTTGTCTTGCCTCACCTTGCGTTACCCACTTTTACCCTAGAGCGAAGAGCCTTCGCTAAGAATTGACGAAACGCCGAGGGCGCCACCGGTCGGACGGGAGAATTTACGAGGTTTTAAAATACTTTCGTAACAATTCTTTCTTTCCTTGCATACATTCACCTATTACGCGTGGTACAACTGATACTCAGCAGTGATTCGCACGAAAATTATATTATCACAATCCCTGCCTCCCTCGGGTACAAACCAATGTTTTGTTCCACACGGCAAAGCTGGATACTGATAACTGGCTTAGACGTGGAATACGTTAGAAATTCGTTTTCATTCAAATTCACATATTTTAACTTTTTTTTTCTTAACTAACGCCTACAATCTTATTTACTTTTCAGGCTTATCAAATACATAATCATAATAATTTTGAATTCCCTTTTTAACAAAAAAAAAATATTTTTGCCTTAATTCATTCCATGATTCAAAACAGCTTCCAATTGATTTCCTCCAATCTCAATTATCCAACCCCACGGACCAGGAGTAATTTTCGTCTATACAATCATCCAATATTTCAAATCAGCGCGTGTTTTAATTTGCGATGAGAAAGTCATCGAAGCACGAAGAAGGTAGTTACCCAGGAGACACCCCGCGCCCTAATGAATAATAGACGGCAATTAAGAGTTCCTTGATCGAGTAAGAACGAGGCTAGGCCGCAAGGTGGATGTTTTCTTATATAGTATATACATACATACACATAATAGAAAAAGCCTCGTGCACATAGCATTGTTGCCCATTCACTTCCCCTCTCTCAAACGTGTCGCAACCAGTCGTAATTTTTCACCTAGGAGAATTTACAACCTCATAACACAGAAGAATGTCCGATCTAAGGATACGCCCAAGATCGCGTACGCTATTGTAATGAAATTATTCGGCACGGTTCGTTTAGTATGCGGAAGATGAGCTACGGAACGTAGACAGTGGTTCTCAAAGTGGCTCCTGCGAACCAAAAGAGGTAACGTACGACATTTATGACAGAGGATCAACGGACTTTACATTATTTTGAAACCAGCGATTATCAGTCATCAGTACAGGACACGCGTCGCATACAAAACTAAAGGTCTGTTCAATGGCAGGCTCGAATCGAAAAGGTCGTAAAAACCTGTTAGGCATGTCGATGCTCCATTCCCCAAAAAGTCATGCCCCGTTTGACGTTGGCCAATCACATTTTTCAAATTAAACCAGCTGAACGGAAGATTCCGTATAAGTATTAGGCTCGTTCCGTGTTTTGTCACTGTAAAAGATCAATTAAGTAAAGTGACACTTATCACGTTAAAGCTACCATGAAACTGTTTCATAGTTACCGTAACCCGTTACCACTTTAAGAACGTTAACCAAACTTTCCATGGAGATTCGAACGGTCATAAAAAAATGTTGTTTTTTTTTTTTACCAAAAAAATATACTCCCATAACGATTCTCACTTGACTTCCTTGTATTAGGATCAAATTCAAAATTGTATTTTTTGACACGACCAAAAGCCCATTTTCAATATTTCATGAATCGCTCATCCAATTTCAGCTTTGTTACACTCAGACGCGTGTGTAAAAAAATCAATTTTACTTGTCCAGCAAAAAAAAAATATAAATCCTGAAAAATCATACGATTACATTCAAGCTACCTTAACGTAAGAAGTTACAGTGCAACGAATAACAAAGTTAATCTAAAGCATTGTTACCGCAACGTTACACTGTCGCAGCGAGAAAACTCGCGTGAAAATGAAGCTTAAAGTGAAAGAGCAAGAAACCCTATAGTAATAATCCTCCCGCTTATCAACGTATAATCTTCATAGTCGCTGAACCCCGGTCCAAAGATAATAAAACTCGTACAGCCAAGACCTGGCTGCCAGCCAAGAGGATAAGCCCAAGCTTGAGAAACGTAGTCTTAACAGTTTCTTAAAAATTCGAAGGTTATCAAACGACTTAAATATCCATCGGTCAAGGTCCCGACAGTGAAACCGAGTACAGTCCCACAAATAATTTTCCCGCCCAACTAAATTTGTACTGCAATTGATTTTACCTGAGATACCGGTATTAACCTTCATTAAAATCAACATACCGTACTATCGTATACCAATATACGCATAAACAGAATCGTTGCGTAAAATTTTTACGAACTTCTCGAAGCAACGACTGTTCGACCATTAGATACTTTCCCTTATAAAATTTTTCATTCAATGTAAGACGTTACCTTTCGTTTGTTTCGTAACAGCACTTATGGACCCATCACGAGCTGCCTGTCAGCTATCCGCATAGCGTGCTTGGTTAGGTGCGTTAAATGCAGCTTTGACGTTCGGGAACACTCGGCGATCTTCGTGAGGAGCCGATTGTGTGTACACTCGACTAGAATAAGACTCGGTGACAAACGAGGAAGGAATTTTTTTTAATAAATTCCAATATTTGGTACCTCCCCCTTTTTCCCCCGCCCCACCATGGGCCACACGTCTCATAAGCGAAAGCTGTTTCGAAGACGATAGCGTGTAAGTGACGACTGGGTCATCGTGTAATGATAAAAATGACGTGTTCCTCGGGGTAAGACCGAAGCGTGTCCGTAGATTTGTTCTTCGGATGTCACAGTTACTTTACGCTTTCGAATTCTAATGTATTCAGGTATATTTGCGAGGTTCGTCCGCTGGAAATAAATATAAAGAGAAAATGAAATCGGGCTCGTTTACGTACATGATTATGCTTGATGCGAACGATACAGGTTTTTGATCGTTATAGGGAAATGATGACACGGTTTACGCGTGGCAATCAAGACTAATGATAATGGTGGAGAAAATTCGTAAGGCTTGTACGTATACATATAAGAATTTTTAGGGATACCGAGTGAGTGCGAAAAAAGAAGCAAAAAAAAAAAAACCGGCCAGCGTTACTCGTGCGAAATTGTCCTCTTCTTTTCGGTCTACTTTCGCTTGATTTCGCAGGAAGTGGCTAACGCGCGTTCGTTCAAGATCTCGTTCGCGGAGAAGACATATTATGTATAAGTTACTTTATAACAGTCCAAGGGCCAAGACAGTGAGACAACGCTATATGCAAACGTGATAAGACAAAATCCGTCATTCTGAAAAAAAAAATTCAAAAAAAAAAATACCATCCAATCGGTCGTACACCTTACGTACAGTTATGGCCAGCCGAACCCATGCAATAATTAAGAAATACTCAGTGATCTCAAAATAAAATTTCATTCCGATATCTTCGTACGTAACGTGTTTGAGGTTATCTGAAACAAGGTTCGAGCGAAGCTTAGAAGGCGCGCTTCCCAATGAGAGCTGCGCGCGCAGCACGTACGAATAATTATTATAGATCCCGACGACTAGTCAGCTTTCTAATAGCCAATTATCAATGAATCCATCTGTACCACTGATTACGAGTTCGAATCGAGTAAGAAGACAGTCGGAACGCTGGTCCATGGCTCCCTGTGCAGATAATGTACACGCAGCTGTAGGACTAAGCGCTTAAAACCTAACCTCTAACGAGCATCAAGGCGATGTACGTGAATCGTGATTATTTAGGTGGGAAACGAATTTCACGGTTTTCATGCTTCGACTATTTCAATTATGCATCGCGCAAGAGGACCCGTGCGAATCTAATGGCTGAGCCTGAGATGTACGCAGGAGACGATTAAATTTATAAATTATACGTTCGATGCTATTTCATTAATTATTGGAGTCACGATGAATATTTAACATTTAAATCATCGACGATTTTGGCAAATGACTTGCGCGAACATGAATTTAAGTGTCAAAAGTCGAAAGTAAAAAAGGCACAATTCTTTCCTTTTCATATTCTCGTATATATATATATATACGTTGTATATACAACACGCGATTACTTATAGAAAAAATTAATTATTCATTAATTACCCGTTGACGGCTGTCACTCTCATTAATTGCGGATACCCATATAGCTAGGGTACCTCGCAATTAAATATATGTATATAGAAAGGCACTGCTGCTCCCGTTTTCACTGTTACCGATAAAGACGATGCCCGCGAGCATTGTGTCGTTATGACTAATACGTAGTACCAGACAACAAATAAAGTTCTCAACGTGTCATCCATTCACCCATTTCTCTGCAGCCTTGTCACGCGTAACGTTATTTATTGCCAAATCCATATCTAGCTCCATATACATCACGTACGATGTTGACTGGAAGTCCTAACCGAAGAATTTCACATTAATTAACGTCACGAGTATCCCATTTAATTGAATTCATCTAAAATTCACAACCGAACCCCCGAATCCGATGAGAAACGCGTGTTATTCAATAAAAGTGATCCAAATTTTTCTGAAACTCTAGCAATAGTAAAATGAATCGATAAAACATCAAACGACCGTTTATCTGCAGGTGATGTCGGTAGAATTTAAAAAAAAAAAGCAGCCGAAGTGGAAAGAACCAGACTCCGCTGGAAAAAAGTTGAATCCATAGGATGGCGCTGCACGGCAGGGCGGAAAATAGAGGAAGCTCTAGCGGCCAGCAGTATGAGAGACGAAGTTGCTCTTTTTTCCGTCTGTATAACGGCCAAGGAATAAAAGCCTTGACTACATGTTAATGCAAAACAATCGACAAGAATCTCGAATCTCAACAATAGAAATTGAAGTAGCCCAACTGCTTGTACAGTTCACGACCGAGAGATTGACTTGTGAACAAAGCGGTAGGTCGTGTCGGATGACAGCGACCTGAAGTGAGCGTTGTATCGAAGCTATTTGTTTTGAGCAAGCATGCGAATCCTGGCCAAACTGTATCAACAGCCGAAGTAACGGTAAATAGGAAAAGTCCAAAAGACGTTACTCCTCATTGGGTTGCGTGGCGCGTAAAATAGCAGTTCGAACGGGCGAACGCATTTTTATCGAAAATCGGGTCGATTGATCGACAGAAGCGAGGAATACTATTGAGGCGTGCCTATGGACGAGAGTTGGTATGTGTTAAATTTTACAAAAAGAAAGTCGGAGAAAATTGACGAAAAA